TCGGATCACTACATTTGTATCTTTGGGGTAAATACCCAGTAGTGAAATTGCTGGGTCGTACAGTAGCTCTATTTTCAACTTTCTGAGGAACCTCCATACTGTTTTCCAGAGTGGCTGCACCAGCTTGCATTCCCACCAACAGTGTAGGAGGGTTCTCCTTTCTCCGCATCCCGCCAACATCTTTCGTTTCCTGACTTGTTAATTTTAGCCATTCTGACTGGTGTGAGGTGGTATCCCATTGAGGTTTTGATTTGGATTTCCCTGATGCCGAGTGATGTTGAGCACTTTTTCATGTGTCTGTTGGCCATTTGGATATCTTCTTTGGAAAAATGTCTGTTCACGTCTTCTGCCCATTTCTTGATTGGATTATTTGTTCTTTGGGCGTTGAGTTTGAGAAGTTCTTCATAGATTTTGGATACTAGCCCTTTATCTGATATGTCATTTGCACATATCTTCTCCCATTCTGTCGGTTGTCTTTTGGTTTTGTTGACTGTTTCCTTTGCTGTGCAAAAGCTTTTTATCTCGATGAAGTCCCAATAGTTCATTTTTGCCCTTGCTTCCCTTGCCTTTAGCAATGTTTCTAGGAAGAAGTTGCTGCGGCTGAGGTCGAAGAGGTTGCTGCCTGTGTTCTCCTTTAGGATGTTGATGGACTCCTGTCTCACATTTAGGTCTTTCGACCATTTTGTGTGTGGTGTCAGGAAATGGTCCAGTTTCATTCTTCTGCATGTGGCTGTCCAATTTTCCCAACACCATTTGTTGAGGAGACCGTCTTTTTTCCACTGGACATTCTTTCCTGCTTTGTCAAAAATTAGTTGACCATAGAGTTGAGGGTCCATTTCTAGGCTCTCTATTCTGTTCCATTGATCTATGTGTCAGTTTTTGTGCCAATACCATACTATCTTGATGATTACAGCTTTGTAATGGAGTTTGAAGTCCAGAATTGTGATGCTATCAGCTTTGCTTTTCTTTTTCTTTTTCTTTTTTTAAAAAATATTTTATTTATTTATTTGACAGAGAGACAGCGAGAGGGAACACAAGCAGGTGGAGTGAGAGAGGGAGAAGCAGGCTTCCCGCTGAGCAGGGAGCCCGATGCGGGGCTCAATCCCAGGACCCCGGGATCATGACCTGAGCCGAAGGCAGACGCTTAACGACTGAGCCACCCAGGCGCCCCCAGCTTTGCTTTTCTTTTTCAACATTCCTCTGGCTATTCGGGGTCTTTTCTGGTTCCATACAAATTTTAGGATTATTTGTTCCATTTCTTTGAAAAAAGTGGATGGTATTTTGATGGGGATTGCATTGAATGTGTAGATTGCTCAGGTAGCATTGACATCTTCACAATATTTGTTCTTCCAATCCATGAGCATGGGATGCTTTTACATTTCTTTGTGTCTTCCTCAATTTCTTTCATGAGTATTTTATAGTTTTCTGAGTACAGATTCTTTGCCTCTTTGGTTAGATTTATTCCTAGGTATCTTATGGTTTTGGGTGCAGTTGTAAATGGGATTGACTCCTTAATTTCTCTTTCTTCTGTCTTGTTGTTGGTGTATAAGAATGCCACTGATTTCTGTGCATTGGCTTTACATCCTGCCACTTTACTGAATTCCTGTATGAGTTCTAGCAGTTTTGGGGTGGAGTCTTTGGAGTTTTCCACATAAAGTATCGTATCATATGCAAAGAGTGACAGTTTGACTTCTTTTTTGCTGGGTCCTTTTATTTCTTTTTGTTGTCTGATTGCTGAGGCTAAGACTTCTAGTACTATGTTGAACATCAGTGGTGATAGTGGACATCCCTGCCGTGTTCCTGACCTTAGGGGGAAAGCTCTCAGTTTTTTCCCATTGAGAATGATATTTGCTGTGGGTTTTTCATAGATGGCTTTTATGGTATTGAGGTATGTACCCTCTATCCCTACAATGTGAAGAGTTTTGCTCAAGAAAGGATGCTGTACTTTGTCAAATGCTTTTTTTTTGCATCTATTGAGAGGATCATATGGTTCTTGTCCTTTCTTTTATTAATGTAGTGTATCACATTGATTGATTTGCAGATGTTGAACCAAACTTGCAGCCCAGGAATAAATCCCACTTGGTCATGGTGAATAATCCTTTTAATGGACTGTTGGATCCTATTGGCTAGTATTTTGGTGAGAATTTTTGCATCCATGTTCATCAGGGATATTGGTCTGTAATTCTCCTTTTTGATGGGGTCTTTGTCTGGTTTTGGGATCGAGGTAATGGTGGCCTCATAAAACGAGTTTGGAAGTTTTCCTTCCATTTCTATTTTTTGGAACAGTTTCAGAAGAATAGATATTAATTCTTCTTTAAATGTTTGGTAGAATTCCCCTGGGAAGCCATCTGGCCCTGGACTCCTGTTTGTTGGGAGATCTATGTTTTTTGTGGTTTTTTTAAAAGATTTTATTTATTTGACAGAGAAAGACACAGTGAGAGAGGGAACATAAGCAGGGGGTGTGGGGGAGGGAGAAGCAGGCTTCCAACGGAGCAGGGAGCCCGATGCAGGGCTCGAGCCCAGGACCCCGGGACCATGACCTGAGCCGAAGGCAGATGCTTAATGACTGAGCCATCCAAGCGCCCCTTGTTGGGAGATTTTTGATTGCTGCTTCGATTTCCTTAGTGGTTATAGGTCTGTTCAGGTTTTCTATTTCTTCCTGGTTCAGTTTTGGTAGTTTATACATCTCTAGGATTGCATCCATTTCTTCCAGATTATCTAATTTGCTGGCATAATTGCTCATAATATTTTTTTATAATTGTTTGTATTTCTTTGGTGTTGGTTGTGATCTCTCCTCTTTCATTCATGATTTTATTTATTTCGGTCTTTCTCTTTTCTTTTTGATAAGTCTGGCCAGGGGTTTATCATTCTTATTAATTCTTTCAAAGAACCAGCTCCTAATTTCATTGATCTGTTCTACTGTTCTTTTGGTTTCTATTTCATTGATTTCTGCTCTGATCTTTATTATTTCTCTTCTCCTGCTGGGTGTAGGCTTTATTTGCTGTTCTCTCTCCAGCTCCTTTAGGTGTAGTGTTAGGTTGTGTATTTGAGACCTTTCTTGTTTCTTGAGAAAGGCTTGTATTGCTATATACTTTCCTCTTAGGACTGCCTTTGCTGCATCCCAAAGATTTTGAACAGTTGTGTTTTCATTTTCATTTGTTTCCATGAATTTTTAAAATTCTTCTTTAATTTCCTGGTTCATCCTTTGGTAGGATTCTCTTTAACCTCCATGTATTTGAGTTCTTTCCAACTTTCCTCTTGTGATTGAGTTCTAGTTTCAAAGCATTGTGGTCTGAAAATAGACAGGGAATGATCCCAATCTTTTGGTACCAGTTGAGACCTGATTTGTGACCTAGGATGTATCTATTCTGGAGAATGTTCCATGGGCACTAGAAAAGAATGTGTATTCTGTTGCTTTGGGATGGAATGTTCTGAATATATCTATGAAGTCCATTTGGTCCAGTGTGTCATTTAAAGTCTTTATTTCCTTGTTGATCTTTTGCTTAGATTATCTGTCCATTTCCATGAGGGGGTGTTAAAGTCCCCTACTATTATTTTGTTGTTGTCAATGTGTTTCTTTGTTTTTGTTATTAATGGGCTTATATAATTGACTGCTCCCATGTTAGGGGCATAGATATTTACAATTGTTAGATCTTCTTGCCGGATAGACCCTTTAAGTATGATATAGTGTTCTTCCTCATCTCTTATTATAGTCTTTGGTTTAAAATCTAATTTGTCTGATATAAGGATTGCCACCCCAGCTTTCTTTTGGTGTCCATTAGCATGGTAAATGGTTTTCCACCCCCTCACTTTCAATCTGGAGGTGTCTTTGGGTTTAAAATGAGTCTCTTGCAGACAGCATATCAATGGGTCTTGTTTTTTTTTTCCAATCTGATAGCCTGTGTCTTTTGATTGGGACATTTAGCCCATTTACATTCAGGGTAACTATTGAAAGATATGAATTTAGTGCCATTGTATTGCCTGTAAGGTGACTGTTACTGTATATTGTCTGTGTTCCTTTCTGGTCTATGTTGCTTTTAGGCTCTCTCTTTGCTTAGAGAACCCCTTTCAATATTTCTTCTGGGCTGGTTTCGTGTTTGCAAATTCCTTTAGTTTTTGTTTGTCCTGGAAGGTTTTTATCTCTCCTTCTATTTTCAATGACAGCCTAGCTGGATATAGTATTCTTGGCTGCATATTTTTCTCATTTAGTGCTCTGAATATATCCTGCCAGTCCTTTCTGGCCTGCCAGATCTCTGTGGATAGGTCTGTTGCCAATCTAATGTTTCTACCATTGTAGGTTACATATCTCTTGTCCTGAGCTGCCTTCAGGATTTTCTCTTTGTCTCTGAGACTCGTAAGTTTTACTATTAGATGTCAGGGTGTTGACCTATTTTTATTGATTTTGAGAGGGGTTCTCTGTGCTTCCTGGATTTTGATGCCTGTTTCCTTCCCCAAATTAGTGAAGTTCTCTGCTGTAATTTGCTCTAATATAGCTTCTGTTCCTCTCTCTCTTCTTCTTCTGGGATCCCAATTATTCTAATATTGTTTCATCTTATGGTATCACTTATCTCTCGAATTCTGCCCTCGTGATCCAGTAGTTGTTTATCTCTCTTTTTCTCAGCTTCTTTATTTTCCATCATTTAGTCTTCTATGTCACTGATTCTCTCTTCTGCCTCATTTATCCTAGCAGTTAACGCCCCCATTTTTTATTGCACCTCATTAATAGCCTTTTTGATTTTGACTTGGTTAGATTTTGGTTCTTGTATTTCTCCAGAAAGGGTTTCTCTAATATCTTCCATGCTTTTCTCAAGCCCAGCTAGTGTCTTTATAATTGTCATTCTGAACTCTAGTTCCGACATCTTACTAATGTCCGTATTGATTAGGTCCCTGGCAGTCGGTACTGCCTCTTGTTCTTTTTTCTGAGGTGATTTTTCCATCTTGTCATTTTGTCCAGAGGAGAATAGATGATGAAAGAACAAAATGCTAATGGTAACAACAATCCCAGAAAAATATACACTAAACAAATCAGAAGAGATCTGAAACCAAGGGAAAAGAAAGGGAAAGGAAGAAAAAAAGAAAAAGAAAAAAGAAAAAGAAAAAGATATAAAAAAAGAATATGATCAAATATTATCAGGCTGATGAATAGATCAGTGCCACGCACTAGATTTTGGGTGTATTTTGGTCTGTTAGAAGAAACTCCCTCCCAAAATTTTAAAGAAAGAAAAGCTTATATATGTACAAAAATAAGGGTAAATACGATGAAGGGATGGAATATGACTGTAAAGATGTAAATTATAAAAGATTTTATAAAAGCAATTGATAAGATAAGAAGTTGGTTGAAAAAAGAAAGAAGAGAAATTTAAAAAAATTAAAAAGGGAGAGAATGTGATCAGGCAGGAGACTAGAGCAAAGCCTTACACTAGAGATTTAGGGTATATTTTGGTTTGTTAGAAGAAACTGTATCTCAAAATTTTAAAGAGAGAACAACTTATATATATACCAAAAATAAGGGTAACTACTATGAAGGGATAGAATATGACTCTAAAAATGAAAAATAAAAAAGATTTTTTAAAAAAGGGATTGATAAGATGTTGGTTGAAAAAGGGAAAAAGAAAAATAAGAAAAAATTAACTTTGAAAGACTGAAGAATCGGGGGGAAAAGCCATGAATTCTATGTGCTGTATTCCCCTAGGGCTGGAGTTCTGCCGTTGTCATTGATCTGTAAACTTGGCCTTGGCTGGCTGTTCTTGCTGATCTTCTGGGGGAGGGGCCTGTTGCTGCGGTTCTCAAATGTCTTTGCTGGAGGCGGAATTGCCCTGCCTTTGCCGGTCCGGGCTAAGTAATCTGCTCGGGTTTGCTCTCGGGAGCTTTTGTTCCCTGCAAGCTTTCCGTACAGCTTTGGAGGCCGAGAGTGAAAATGGCAGCCTCCCAATCTCCACCCAGAGGAGCTGAGTACTTGGGGCCCCACTCCTCAGTGAGCCCCCAGAGAAAAGCAGTCAATCACTCCCGTCTGCCCGGTCTCTGGCCGCACTCCGTGCTCTCCTGGCCTATGACCGAGCGTTTCTATCTCTGGCACATGACGCCGTCTGGAGTCTCCAAACCCAGCAGATCCCTGTGGTATGCTCCCGCGCCGCTCTTCCCAGGGGAGGAAGGGGAGTCTCCCTGGATCTGCCACTTGTTGGGTCCCTGCTGGAGGAGCAGGGGCCTGACTGTGCCACGGATCACGGTTTATGGCAACCCTGAGCTGAGAGCCCGTACCTGGGCTCTGTCTCTGCAGCTGGCTTACCCGCTCCGATACCTGGGAGCTCTGCTGCACTCAGGCCCCCCGGTCTACCTGTGACCCCAAGGGTCCTGAGACCACACTGTCCCACGAGGGTTCCACCCCCCGCTTAGCCACTGGAGCGACGTCCCTCAGCGGAGCTGTCTTCTAAAAGTTCCAATTTTGTGCTCTGCTCCTCTGTCACTTGCCAGTAGTGGCTGGCGGAGGCCCCCCCCACCGTCTATCCTCCCTAATATCACCTCAGATTCACTTCTCCGCACATCCTACCTTCCAGAAAGTGGTCACTTTCTGTTCAGAGAGTTGTTGCTATTCTTTTCTTTGATCTCCTGTTGAGTTCTTAGGTGTTCAGAATGGTTTGATCCCTATCCAGCTGAATTCCTGGGACCAGACGAAATTTAGGTCTCCTACTCCTCCACCATCTTGCTCCTCCCCTCTGTTCAGATTTTCTATTCCTGATTCAGCTTTGAAAGTTCATATGTTTCTAGGAATTGGCCCATTTCTTCTGAGTTGTCCAATTTGTTGGCATATAATATTTTGTAGTATTCTTATAATTTTTTTTGTATTTTTGTGGTGTTGATTATTTCTCCTCTTTATGATTTTATTTTTTTGTGTCCTGTCTCATTTTTCTTGATGAGTCTGGCTAAAGGTTTCAGTTTGTTTATCTTTTCAAAGAACTAGCTCTTGGTTACATTGACATTTTCTATTTTTTAAAGTCTCTATTTCATTTATTTCTGCTCTGATTTTTATTATGTCCTTCCTTCTACTAACCTTGGGCCTTTTTGTTGTCATTTTTCTAGTTCCTTTAGGTGTAAGCTTAGATTATTTATTCGAGCTTTTTCTTATATCTTCAGGTACACCTCTATTGATATATATTTCCCACTTAGAACTGCTTTTCCTGTGTTACAGCCTTATTTTTTAAAGTAAATTCTTTAAGAAACAATTTTTAAAACTTTTAAAGTTTCTTTAAACCTTCATGTGAGACTCCTAAAACTTTTTACATGGACGTGAATCTCTTGTATTTAAGGATTTTCAGACATGAAAATTCTATAAATTTGGAAACCAATACCAATTTCTAACCCTTATTGTAGACAATTTTTTCTTTACCTCTAAATAAAATCTGTCCTTTTACAACTAAAGGACGTTCTTTGTTCTTTTCTTAGATTATCAGCTGTTTATCATCCTCCATAGTTCTTTTTTAGGCTTTAATTTAATTCTAATTAAGCTTTAATTTAGGAGGCAAACATGTAGGCAAAGTCTATGCATGTCTAGCAGTCAACTTTAATCTAAAGAATGTCAGTCAAACATATAGACAGATAGTGCAGAATACCCAATTCCATAGTCCTCATGAGAATTGAGATTCTACTCCCAATGTGTGCATTCTAGAGCAGAACCACAATCTTGATGGTCCTAAATCAACTTCCGTTCCTGCATAATTGGCAGTCTCTAGGGAAATATATTAGATTAAGGATGAGGTGATGGTTGGCAATCTCCAAAACTTACATATTTATCTTTAGCTGTCTAAAATATACAACTGCCAGATCAACTTTTACCTCTAGTAATTAGAAACTAAGTAATTTGAGGGAATTCTCCTGCCGAGGACAACTCTAACTACTGGGAAAGTTCCAAAACCAAATCAAACAAAATAGAGAAAAGAAAACTAAAAAAAAAAATTTTCTTAAAGATATAAAAAATCAAAAGGACTTTCAGAGCAATATTTGAGAGAAGCTGAAAATCCAAAAAAGTATACTTGTCATTTATAGTGACTTTTCTTCTGGAGACATTTGCCAATTAAAGAAGAGAAACCAAGATTCTGATCAGTTCATTTAATATCCATAGGCTATTAAATGGACCTAGGATGATAAAACTTGGAGTTCAAGATCTGAAAGTGAAGAGTAGCCATGGTAAACCTCTTTGCATATTCAGGCTGGAATCTCAAAGGGCTGAACCCTGGGGAACCTAGTCATCACTGAGACTAGGTTTTTTGTCATTTCAATCTCCAGAATTTGGTTAAGTTTATTCTGATTGCTAGTTTCTCAGAGCTTTGCAGAAGGAAAATAAAACCACCATGCAGTATTGTAATATTATCCTAAGTGTAAAATTATTTCTGTAAGTATTGTCTAGTACAATATCTAGCACACAATAAAAAGTAACCTGGTACCCAAAGAGACATGAGAATATAACTGAGAAACAGCAGAAACAAGAGAGAGTCGAAATAGGCACTCAGAGTCTATTAGCATATAAGAAATAGATATTAAATATTAAAATATTAAATAAATAATGAAATATTAAATTAAATAATAAAAATATTAAAATAAATAGGCTTACCATGTTCAAGACAAGATTGAGAGTGTTTAAAGATATAGAATAGGAAAGATTCAAGGGGCACCTGAGTGATTCAGTTAAGTGTCTAACTCTTGATTTCAGCTTAGGTCATGATCTCATGGTTGTGAGATTGAGCCTCACATCAGGCTCCATGCTTAAGATTCTCTCTCCATCTCCTGCTGCCCCTCCCCACTGCCCACTGTCTCTAAAAAACAACAACAACAACAACTCGAAAATGTTACCAAATGGAATCCTGGAAATGAATAGCTGGAATTAAGACTCCAGAGTAAAAGAAACTGTTGAGAATGAAGCACAAAGAATAGAAAATTATACATGAAAGGTAGAGGATAAAGGGTGAAAAATAAAAACCATAAAGATAATTGAATCCCAGAAGAAGATGAGATGGACTGAGAAGAGACAGTATCTGAAGAGATAATAACTGAAAATTATCCAAAAACTAATGAAAGACAAGTTAAAAATGTAAGAATCCCTACAATTTCTGAACAGGATAAACTAAAAGAAATACACAAGTAGGCTCATGACAGAAAAATTTATGAAAAGGGAAGAGAAAGAAAAAGAAAATGAGAAATCAGCCAGGGATGTGGAAGAAGCAGCCTGAGGGAAAGAAGAGAGATTGCTTTCAAAGTGATAGTAATTAGGCTAAGAGCTAGCCGCTAACTTCTCAACGGGAGCAATGGAAGCTAGAAGACAATGGTAACTATAAGGAACTAAAAGTAAATAAGTACCAAACTAGAAGTCCATATGCAATGAAAGTATTCTTCAGTAATAAAGGGGATATAAAGACATTTTCAGACAAATAAAAACTGAGGATTAGTCACTTGCATATCTGCACTAAAGGGAATACTACAGGATATTTTTCTAGGTAGAAAAAAAAATGATCCCAATTGGAAATGCAGGTAGAAGTGAAATAAATGAGATGTAAACATTTGGGTTAATCAAAATAAGTATTTATACCATGAATAGTAATAATAATGACTTTTGGTTTTTAAAATATGGAGAAAAATACATAATAGCATATTTGTTAGAAGAGATAAAATATTGTTACTGTTCTAAGGTTCAAGCCTTTTGGGGGAAAGGGGGTAAAAGTACCAATAAATGTCAGATTTTGATAAATAAATGTATGTTGTAATAATTATGGTAGCCACTACAGATCTGATAAAATGGTAATTACTTTTAAAGCTAATTATGGGTCAAGGATAAAAATTGAGATTGAGTTCATTTAATAATTGGAAATTTGACTAAACAAGAGAAATTTTAATGAAATATGTACTGCAGGAGACATAGTCTCATTTTAATAAAAATTTGAATCACTGGTACTTCTTTAAGGTTTCATTTACGGTTATTTTACCTTTCATTATAATTTCTAAGAAGCCAATTGTTTCCCAAAGGATTTGTTTAACAATTTAAAATTTCATGTGTTTTATTTTTAACCAGAAATAAAATGGAATTAAACATGTGCAAAATAACTGAATATCAAGTAACCAGTTACGCAGCCAGCTCATTTACACTGAATTAGTAATTTTCTCAGTCTGCAATTTATGTTAATTAAGGAAAAATTATGTTATACCTTTACATAATGACATAAATGTCTCCTCTTCTCTGTAAATGTTATTATTATCTTAAGTTTCAGTTCTTTTTCACTATTAGTGTCTTGGATAACTCCATATAAGCTATTTTCATTATACTTTAGCTGGCACTATAATTGGGAGAATATTCAACTTAAAAGCTAAATAAGTATTGAAAACACTAGAATTGTCTTGATTTCAACAAGCTGTGTGATACTCCACATGAAGTGATTATGATAACCACTATGATATATTCATTTTTAAAGTATAAACAGGCTCTTATGCTTTATAAACTTTGTATCTTTTAATGTAATTTGATTTTATGAAAATGTTTTGATAAAAATCTTAATAGCAAAATATTTATGAAATATGTTGGGTTTTTTTTCCCCCTACATTGCAGAGATTAAGCCATGGTTTGGTTGTATGTATTTGTTCTGAATCTCTATCTAGCCAATTAATTTTATGTGCATAGTTTAAGGCCCCAGTGACTGGTCAGGATGATTTTGGGGAAAAAGGACATTTTATTGGGTGTCTACATTTCCTACATTCATCAAATAATTGTCATCTCTCTGAAATAAGTGAAGACCTAAATTTCAGTTCTATCTTGGCTACTGACTTGTTTTGTCAACTCAATTTACTTCTCTGGGCTTTTCAATTTTCCTCATAGTAACTTATCCCTGTCTATTGAGTCCTTGTCTATTAGAGCAATTTGATCTCAGTAGAAAAGAGTTTCTGTAAATCCAAAGTATTTTTATTATCCTTCATTGGTTCAATACTGATATCTAAAGTTTTCAGCTAAAAAAAAAAGCAAGTGTTTCCCTGGGCATATTAAGGGCCTCACCAGAAAGCTAGACCTCAATGCAAAGCATGTGCAGAACCCAGCAACCTCTCTAAATAAGTACAGTGAGTCTGTGGTGTTTGCCGTCTTA